TCCTTTTGCCTCTTCTTCGTCTGTCTCGTCCCGTCCGGCTCTGGGTTCCGGTCCTCTCCTTTCCTCTCTCCCTCCTCTCCCTCGTCGCTCTCGTCTCGTTTTTCCTCCTCCTGTCTCCTTCGCCTTCCTCTCTCTCTCTCTCTCTCTCTCTCTCTCTCTCTCTCTCTCTCCTCCCCCCCCTCTTTCCTCTCCCCGGTGTCCCCGTCTCTGGCTCTCTCCTCTCTCGATCCTTCCACTGCTGTCCTTTCCTTGCTTCTCTGCTTCTCTTATTCTTTTGTTTTCCACGTTTCTTTTAAACCTTCGCCGCTCCGCTCTTGTAAATACGCACGCTCTCAATCTTGGGAGTTAATAACTCCGAGAAGGGCAATGTATTATAAATGTTGAGCCTGAGGAAAAAGTCATTTTCAGACAATACAATACTAATCTAATGCAAGACCCTTTACTCTTCCGAGACGGGGCTCTACCCTGCCTGTCAAAGCCAACCCGGGCTTAGAGGGATACAGCGCCCCATCAGAAAGACCAGGAGACTCGATACAAATTCCCCCCACTCTGGAATAGAACTCGTGCCTTCTGTGTACGACGGCCAAGCACCTAACCGGTGCACCAAAGACGCCAGTTACGCTGCTGCAATATTTGTCACTCAATGCTGACACCGTGCCATAAACTTTATACTCGTACCACAAAGATACAAAATGTTCCTTCTACACGATCTGTTCTTCTGTGGTTCTACAGGCTGCAATCCACAGTTAGTTTTACGCTACATGCTTTATACAATACGCAAGATAGTTTACGGCTTAACCTCCTGTATCTTAGATTTTCTTGAAAGTAGTTGGAACATATCATTTTTAATTTTGGCCCACTCTCCGGTACAAACCCGTTTCTTTCAGCTGCACGCTTCTCCCATAATATCCTCTTTGATTCCCTGTAGAACAGTGTTTCATTCCAATGCTTTGTCGTGGGACTCATTCAGAACAACCTCTCATATTTCTCCCTCTTTGCAGTTTCGCCTGCTTTGCTCCGCACTCCTGCTAGTGGTTGCCCCGTGCATATGCCACCAATGGGGAGATGGACCTTTTGGTGGACCTTTTGGCGGATCTAAGGGAGGACATTTTGGCAGACCTTGGAGTGGACCTTTTGGTGGACCTTGGGGTGGACCTTTTGGTGGACCTTGGGGTGGACCTTTTGGTGGACCTTGGGGTGGACTTTTTGGTGGACCTTTTGGTGGATCTGAGGGAGGACATTTTGGCGGACATTGGCCAAACAACCACGGGTTCTTCCATCATCCTGGTCATTTCCACCATCCTCACATCCCTAGCTCCCCCGTGACCGCACAACCAACCCCTGTGCCACAGCCACAGCCACAGCCACAGCCACAGCCACAACCCAAAGCCAGTTGTCCGACACTGGCCTCAGCGTGCGCGGCCAGGCCAGCAGGGATCAGCAACTCTAGCGTGGGCGACCTTATTGAGAAAGTGGTCAAAAACCTGGACGCGAACGGAGACGGCAATCTTACTGTCGCTGAGCAGGTCTGTGGGTCAACTGTCAGGTGGTCTGAGATTGTAGGTCAAGTAGGCTACCGGGTGTCTAAAAAAAATGACCAATTTAAAGGGCAATAACTCCGTCGTCTTTAGATTAATTTCAACAAAACTTCGAAGAAATAAAACTCTACCAGGAAGACGTTAAATTTGTCAAAATAATTGAATTTTGTTTGTTCGAAGTTTTGTTGATATCAGTGCCGAGATCATCGGATCATTGCCCTTTAAGAGGCCCCTATTTTGAAAATCTGTATTTCAGCACTCCGTTTGCCTCTGAAACATTGCCTTTTTAAAACTATAGGTGGGAGCATCAGTTATCTTCAACACGATTCTGAAATAATATGTACTCCACAATAAGATATTTAAAGAGAGATATATATATATATCATTATATATTCGTAATAGACTGACAGAACAATTATAATCAGGGCAGGTTTATGAGATGGAGACCCCAAGTTGTTGTCCTGGCCCTCGAAACATTTCTCACGCTGCCCACTCTGTAACTTACCCGTCTCTTTCCCCCACCCCGCACACTCTGTGATGACCCCCCCCCCCTCTCTCCACACACACACACACACACACACACACACACACACACACACACACACACACACACACACACGCACGCACATACACACACACACACACACATTCACACTACACATACGTTGACCACTCTATACCCCCCACCCACACAAGTACAAGTATTCATTGGTACACGTAACGCTTTCCTGTCCGTCACAGCGAGGGTAACACGTCACTAAAGTACTTGGCCCTCTACCCCCAGTCGAATGTGTGACCCGGAAGAGTTTTCTCTCAACACGTAGGGCAATGGGCTTCTCTGACGAGCTGAGTTTGGTCCTCATCCAGGGTGACGCCAAGCCTTCATGCAGCGGCTTCTTGATCGCCGATTTTCTTCCCTTATCAACCCTATCTGTGGTGGGTATCTTACTTCTCTTCTTCCTATTTTTTGTGTGAGCTTAAGGTTTGATGTTGATTAACTGATTCTTCAGTTTGTTTGAGTAAAGACAGGCACCTCGACTCGGCAACTTCCATTTAGTGCAGAGTCAAAGAGAGATAGAGAAAGGGGACAGGGAGGATTGGGGGGGGGGGGGGGTAGGGAGTGTTGGAGTGGCTGTGTATGGAAGGAAATAGTTTTCCTCCTCATCTAATTCACGAGCTGTTTTCATCCGATTCCAATGGATACTCTCACAAGACATCAAGTGATAGCCTGTTATTTATAACTTAATAAGCTGATTTTATGGTCATGAGCGCGCGGGACACAAGTTGATCATTTTTACATAAACTCACAACACTGCTTGGATTTTTCAAGTCGGAATGGTTGAAGTATCTAAAAATTATAATATATTGCCATCGTAGCGTCGATCCACAGCAAGCTACATGATACGTATTACCTATTTTATTTGTCCGTGCAGGATTTCTTCACCAACATCAACTTCCAAACGCTCATCAACGTGTGTGAAGGGCAGAAGGCTCTCTACAACACGAGCTGTAACTGTGCCCAGCTCCCCTCCTCCTGTCGCGACAATCGTTTCTCCGGCCTCGCCTCCTGCTCCGCCTACCTGCCCAAAATCGCCAGCCGCACGGACTGTGTCTTCGGCAACGCCCCGGCCACAGTGACCGCCCCCGGCTCAATTGTAGGACGTAAGCGAAGATCGGAGTGGTAGAAAGAAGAGAGCATCCATCCAATCGTCGACAAACGCAAGCCTTCCTCTTTGATTTCAACCTCAGAAAAATAAAGTCGTGGGTTCATTTTAGTTTGATTTCTCTTCTCTTTCGTTTTTTTCCCCATTCTTCCTGGATTGGAGGGCTTGCGATCCCGATAACATCTCGTTGTTCTGTGTATTGCTAGTGTCCGACTGTAACCATGTATCTGCCAAATTTTTGGGAAAAAATTATTTCTTATTATCTTCAAGATTTGTTCAAAATTTTGTTTAGTGTTCTTTTTATTTATCTTATCACCAATTTTGATAATGGTTCAAAATGACATAGACTCTAATTTCAGACCCCCCCCCAAAAAAAAAATAAAAAATAAATAAATAAATAAAAATAAAAATAAAAATAAAAATATAGAAATATGAAAAAAATAAATAAATAAAATAAAATAAAATAAAATAAAATAAATAAATAATTAAAAAATTAAAAACTTTTGCCTACTTTCGCGGACACACGGTTGGAGTAGGACACCGACAATACACATCTTGGGAAAGGGCGTGACGGCTGAAACGTTAATTCTTAATTAGTAACAATGTGAATAGAAACTTTATACTGATCTAATTGCACACACATAATGTAACATTCTGAATATAAGCGTTATACTTATCTACAATGTATAATTTGCATACACTATGTAACATTGTTGATAGAAGCTTCGTACTTAAAGCAAAGGCACTATTTGCGCCCATTTCTCACTTAATTTGCCCTAGAAGTCAAACGATTAGAGATAACAACAACAAAATTTGGTCTGCAAACTTGCACATCCTCAGGCCAATAAATGTATGATGGTCTAGAGCATTCTTGGCTATATTACCAAGAAGGATGATCGTTTTAAAAAACCATGTGAAGGGACCAGTTTGCGATCAGGACACCTTTATGTGTTCATCGAGGACACACTAACGGGAGGAGCTACCCTTGAAGACCATTTTCTATGTTTGTTGCCCGAGATCAAATCTAAGTACACATATAAGTTAGACATAGTAAGCGCGCTCATATGACCTTAGCAGTTGCGAGCGCCGTAAAACCTTATACTATACATACATACAGACATAGTAAAATCTCTTGATACGCAATTTCATTTTGACATAGCTAAAGCGGTTGCTATGAAAACGGCCGCCATCTTGAAAATAAACAATGGATTTCAAATCCCTAAGGCTTTCTTATTTACAGAGAAGATCGGAGTGGTAGAAAGAAGAGAGCATCCATCCAATCGTCGACAAACGCAAGCCTTCCTCTTTGATTTCAACCTCAGAAAAATAAAGCCGTGGGTTCATTTTAGTTTGATTTCTCTTCTCTTTCGTTTTTTTCCCATTCTTCCTGGATTGGAGGGCTTGCGATCCCGATAACATCTCGTTGTTCTGTGTATTGCTAGTGTCCGACTGTAACCATGTATCTGCCAAATTTTTGGGAAAAAATTATTTCTTATTATCTTCAAGATTTGTTCAAAATTTTGTTTAGTGTTTTTTTTATTTATCTTATCACCAATTTTGATAATGGTTCAAAATGGCATAGACTCTAATTTCAGACCCCCCCCCCCCAAAAAAAAATAAATAAATAAATAAATAAATAAATAAATAAAAATAAAAATAAAAATATAGAAATATGAAAAAAAAAAATAAATAAGATGAAAATAAAATAAAATAAAATAAATAAATAATTAAAAAATTAAAAACTTTTGCCTACTTTCGCGGACACACGGTTGGAGTAGGACACCGACAATACACATCTTGGGAAAGGGCGTGACGGCTGAAACGTTAATTCTTAATTAGTAACAATGTGAATAGAAACTTTATACTGATCTAATTGCACACACATAATGTAACATTCTGAATATAAGCGTTATACTTATCTACAATGTATAATTTGCATACACTATGTAACATTGTTGATAGAAGCTTCGTACTTAAAGCAAAGGCACTATTTGCGCCCATTTCTCACTTAATTTGCCCTAGAAGTCAAACGATTAGAGATAACAACAAACAAATTTGGTCTGCAAACTTGCACATCCTCAGGCCAATAAATGTATGATGGTCTAGAGCATTCTTGGCTATATTACCAAGAAGGATGATCGTTTAAAAAACCATGTGAAGGGACCAGTTTGCGATCAGGACACCTTTATGTGTTCATCGAGGACACACTAACGGGAGGAGCTACCCTTGAAGACCATTTTCTATGTTTGTTGCCCGAGATCAAATCTAAGTACACATATAAGTTAGACATAGTAAGCGCGCTCATATGACCTTAGCAGTTGCGAGCGCCGTAAAACCTTATACTATACATACATACAGACATAGTAAAATCTCTTGATACGCAATTTCATTTTGACATAGCTAAAGCGGTTGCTATGAAAACGGCCGCCATCTTGAAAATAAACAATGGATTTCAAATCCCTAAGGCTTTCTTATTTACAGACTAAATTTGACCAAATGTGGGGAGAGTATACCTGAACCAGACCCTATCAGTGTAACAGCAAGTTTTTTTTTCAATAAGTGCAAAAGAAAAATAAATATGAGAATTTTCCCAAAGTATAAAAAAACTGTAAAAAAAATTTAGGTTGCGTAATTGCTTGCCAATGGAAAAGTATTATTTTTTTCGCAAATATCTCTCTGTTACATTGATGGCAGCCGTGCCAACAATGTTTCCTGAAAGTTTCATGTCAAAAGGATGAAAACTAAGGAAGGAGTAGGGGAAAACTGCACAAAAATTACAGTTTTTGAAAACCGACAATAATTGTGAAAATTCACTATATTAATCCATCCTCATGTTTTTAAAGGCAATTTACCTGGAGAATAAAGTCTTTCTCAATTGTATCCATGCTATTTTTAAACAAAAAACAGGTTTATTTTAAAAAATCAGCCAATATAAAATGTGCATAGCCTGACCCAAAATCTGCAAAATCAAGGGTCGCTCCTCCCCTTAAGCGGCCAGGGAATTGTGATGCGATCGCATGGGGATATAATGTATGCGGCCAGGACCTCCCAACATCATTTTGTAGAGTACGGTGGGGCGGGGTTGTTTTTTAAAGAAGACGTGCCTGCAGGGTAGCCTTGTCGTTGACGGACTTTGGCCAAAGATTCGAATCCCGACAGCATGATACTCTTGAGTTTCGGCTTTTTATTGACCCCCCCCCCCCTCTCGGCGTCCTCTTGAGAGAGCAAGTGATCAGCCTTCGAAATGACCATCTGTGCACAGTAGGGTGTTATAAACTAAACAACATGAGTCACTGTAGCCTAGTGGTAAGACGCACTCTTCATGAATATGTTGAAGATCCCAGGTTCGAGTCTCGTTGGGCCCACATTTTCCCCGAGTTTTATGGCCCGAGCGGCCGTCTCTTATATGACCTTCCAGTGTCAAAAGAGATGAAACTACCAACTCAGTACGGTACTCGGTAAAGTAAGCAAAAAAACAAAAAAGTCTTGGGAGAAACAAGTGAGATTAGTGAGAACGAAATAAAAAGATGATAAAAACGATGATCGGCTCTTGTTACATTGACGACAATGAGCGACTTTGACAGATTAAAAAAACCCAGTGAATTCGTAAATATTGCCGGGAATTTTGACAGACACCTTCACAAATGACCTGAGTGTATTTTTTTAAAGTCAATAATCCTCCCCCCACTCTGGAGTCCAATACTCAGCAACGCTCAGGCTTTGACCCCTGCAAATGTACTCCCATGATAACATATGATGCGAGCGTGCGCAGGTTCACTGACCGGTTACGTTGGCGAGCCCGACAAGCTGAAATTAAGACGTTTGATTTTCTTTTCTTTCTTTTTTCTTAAGTGACTGCAGTCACAAATATTGATTTATTTTTACGGCGTTTAGAATTCACAACTTGCATTCCACAAATGTTTCGTTATCAGACCAGGAAAAGCTGAGCGAATAGCTCAATCGCAACAGGCAAAGATGAACTTACTGACCCTATCGGATTTGGTTTTATTTATTTACCTGGGTCATTCCAGGGACAATTTACAGATTTCCTCAAATTCCCGGGGCACTCCCGGGTCTCGGCTTTTTTTTTCAAATTCCCGGGGCCTTGTGTCACCCTGTCAAGAGGTACAAGCGAGAGGGCAGTTTCTTCAGACTGCGCCGAATCTGATGGAGTCACTCTTGATTGATCAATCGCATTGAAGTCGAGAACAACAAACCAGGCTTTCTGAATGCATGTATGTAAGCTAAATTGCTGTTAAATGGGCACTATTAGCAACTGACCACAACAATGTCCCTTCTCCAATGGAGTGGACCTTTTGCAGACGTCGCCGATCGCAAGAAGTCCCTTTAAAAAAAAAAAAAGGGAATACTATGCGGCCACCACTCCCTGAGTCCCTTTTTTTAAAAAAAAAATGTTAAGACATTTACACACGGTATTTACTCATTACTTCAACACATACATGAACCTATAATGGAATACAAATAAAATAAGAAAGCTTTGTAATGACCATGGACAAGTGACCAGTCAAATTTTCACTTTGGGATATTTTGATCGACCAAATTCTTGAAACCACTGCCACTCTCAAACGTTGCTGTCTATCGAGACCATCTTTGTTTTGAGCATGTGATTCATGCCAGTGCATCACGGGAGCTTGCATTTGGAAGATGAAAGAAGACCTGAGTTATTTACTTTATTAGGAAAATGGCCTCATAGTTCGGCCGGCCGCAAATAGTGGCTTTAGTCTATCAATTTAAACACAATCGAGCAATAAGGGCAAGTTACTAATGGAAAGTAGTTAATTCAGAACACGAAGTGTATATTACAAGACCAACATTTTCTAGATTTTAATCTTATTGAAATTTTCCCCTTCACCTATTGGTCGATTGGGAGATGACGTAAAAGACAAGTGACCAGGTTACCAGGTGCAATATTTTGCAAAACGCTTCTCTGGTCAATTTCCTTACTTCCATGTAATGGTTTACGTTTAGTTTTATTTTTAGTAAGAGTTTAACGGCACTTAACGCAAAAATAGGTCTTACAAATGCCAAGAATTATGGTCAGAAGGCTCTTAGGAGAAACAATTAAGCAGAATTCTGAAGAATCAAAACCCAGAACTTCGGCTTGTTACTTGTAAGTACCGACTCGAAGTGTAATTATATATTCTACAAAGACCCATAAAAGATATTTGGTTGTACCAACAATTAAGAGCTCAAAGTGTGTTGGCAAAAATAAAGATTCAATATTATATTTCAAAATGGGATGACCCTATAATGTATCACTGGAAGGGGATAGACTGCCGGATAGGCACACCAACCCACCTAGAACAATCATACAATTATTACTCATGCCAGAACAACAGAACTGCGACACAACTCAGAGGATGGATAACGCTCAAAATTGAATTGTATGGTACGTTTTAATTTTGTGTTTTGTCTCTTTCCATACCGAAGAAAGTCGTTCGAATTAACCCCGTCTTTCGTGCGGCAGAATTAAAGGGCTGAATGATCTTTACAACTCAGATAACCCTGGAAACGGATGAGAAACGACACACACAAACAAACAGAAGGTCAACGTTTCTCCTCTAAGACATTATTCCGAAAGTACCGAAGTGCTCTCTCTCTCTCTCTCTCTCTCTCTCTCTCTCTCTCTCTCTCTCTCTCTCTCTCCCTCTCCCCCCCTCTCTCTCTACTACTACTACTACTACTACTACTACTCTCTCTCTCCCTCTCCCCCCCTCTCTCTCTGTGTTACTACTACTACTACTACTACTACTACTACTACTACTACTACTACTACTACTACTACTACTACTACTACTACTACTACTGACCTCGGTGGCCTAGTGGTTAGGCTCTCGGACTCGCAACCGTAAGGTCGTGGGTTCGAATCCCGTCAGGGGCCCGAAGTTGTGTCCTTGGGAAAGGCACTTTACACGAATTTTCCTCACTTCACCCAGGTGGGAATAGGTACCCGGCTATAGATCGCGAAAAATCTTGTTGGTTTGTTAGTGTTTGAGCGCTTAATCAGCTGCTTGCACTGTATGCTTCCCGGGAAGCTGTGAATGTTTCGGAGTGCTCTAAGGTCTGCTGGGGTAATAATTTTGTGTAAAGCGCATACAGCCTGCTGTTGAGTGGGGATATGCGCTATACAAATGCTATATATTATTATTATTACTACTACTACGACTACTATTGTGAGACAACGTTTCTTTTCTCCATCATTTATTTTCACTGTCAGAAGTAGTTGTCCAGCATTCAGTCTCATTTAGCAACTCTCACCTCATACAATTTTCCAAAATCCTTATTTTTGTTGTTATTGAGTTGTTTCTATTTTTAGGAGTAAACTCG